GATTTATGGATGATTAATTATATAAAATCATGTTTCCACAGGGATATAAGTATAGCGAATTAACTAAAATTATCTATGCTTAGCTTGGGTTTAATTGATACTCAAATTCTTATTAACTGTATCAATTCAGGGACTATGTTAGAGGATTTGCTAGGTTTATGTACTAGAGCTTAGCAGGGTTGTTATATATGATTTAATCATACATATAGATCATATGTCCATAGTATTGTAAGTATAGTGAATCAACTCAAATTACTTATGCTTAGCTTGGATGAAATTGATACTTAAATTTCTATTCACTGTATCAATTCGTGGACTATGATGGAGAATGTGAATGCTTGAATTTATTGTAGCACGTTACATTATTGGAATTGGATTTTTGGCCCCATAATGAATGCCTAATATTTATGTATATGCATTTAATTTATCTTGTGCATATTCTGGAGTATGGTTAATGACTATTTAATACTGTATTTGTCAACTATGTTAGCTGGAGGATTGTATGTACCGGTATGGGACGGTGACATACTAGGTATGGATTAGTTAAAACACTAAGTTCTACCTAATTTAAATTAAGGTATAGATTAATCATAAAGGTTAAGTCCATCACCTATATGTGTTATATCAATTATGAATTGAGTGACCTACTTTTGGTTTCAGGATTGATGCATTATACATTATATCAAACTACTACAAAGTTGGATAATATTTTGTATTAGGAGGAGTACGGACTTTATATATATATTTTATGTGCCATGGTATGAGCCAGAGTCTCAGGACCATGGTTAGGGCGCATATATCGCCTAGAATGGATAACTGGACATAGGTGTTGTTCCCTAGTAGGTCTGGTACTCATGCCCACCTTAGGGTGCGTATTTGCATGTTGCCTTCTATTCAGGCTGAGACAGACCTATTGAACTAGCGAGCGTCCTATAATGTGTACTATATATACATATATAGACTACTCTAGATATTGTTGAGTCTTCCTAGGATGTATCTGCGTATCGGATTACTGTATGGATCGTAGTAGAATAGGACTTGCATGTGGGCCTGACCCACTCTCTTATTTTTCAGGTGGTCGTCAGTTCCAGGGTTAGAGCTTGGACGTGCAGAGCAGATACAGATATTCATTCCTCCGACTACGTAGGAATCTTCTCTATATTAGCTTTAGACTTTATTTTAGTCATTTCAGTTTTGAATTGAGAATGTTAATAAGGGGTCCACTGGATGGATTCCCGAGTTGTAAACTTATGGAGTTTTGGATTATTAGATTTGGATAATTATATGTATTTAAGGATTTTAAATTAGTTTTCATTCAGCTTTTAATTTTATTTCTTTAATTCATTTTGTATTCCGTGTTCGATTTAAATATTAATTGTTTGATATTTCCCTTGGGTTTGGGCTTGGGCCTGATCAACCCGTGTCTCGGATCCAAGGGGTATCATACAAGATATAATCATGTGGAATTTAATTACCATAAAAATAATTAAATTACTAATTTTCAATAGTAACCCAAAAATTCTTAAAATAATATATATGAATATCCATTCCATGATGATTGCATATATCAAATCAAAAGTGCAAAATGAGTAAGATATGAACATGTATAATTTAATTAATTTAAAATTAATTAAATCTCTAGATTTCAAAGCTTATTCCAACGATCTCAAATTAATATATATTATGGATTAAATCATGGCCATGCCATATATCAAGTCAAAATTAGAAAACAATTAAGTAGAATTTAAATCAAATTTAAATAAATTTCTAAATCTTGAACAAAAACAAGCATACAAGTTGTATAAGTATTAATAGCATGCAATACATCAAGAATATAATTTATAACACCCCCTACCTCAATTTGAGATGAAAATCTCTAATCCCCACCCAAAGAAAAGTGCTCCGAATCTAACGATACCGCGGGGTTTTGTCGAGGACAACACGGTGAACAAGAATCCCAAGGAAGCCCCATGAAAATCACAACTTGACTTCAAACCTGAACTCAAAATTTGGCCAAAATCGGGTTCTACCAAGTAAATCAAGTGGAGGAGAAGAAAGAGTGAAGGCAGCCCCTTGGGCTCCCATGGCTACCGGCCAAGAGGGGGAAGAAGATGATGGAAAAGTGACTTTTCACTTTAAGACATTCTATTTATACAAAAACCCTAAAAGTGCCTCGAAAGAGCCCCGCCGGGTCCGAAAAAGTGGAATTTGAGCAAATGCGCTCAAACGGCAAAACTTCATGAACAAAAAAGAACCAAGATGAGAAAATATGAATAGCGGAAGAAACGGTGTCAAAAACCGAGTCTCGAATAGAGAGATATGCCCCGAACAAGTTCGGTGGTAACTAGGGCCAGAAACCCTGAAACTGGAGAAAAATGACCAGAAGGAAATTCTAAGAGTACACGACTAGACAAAATGTGAAAATGAATCCCATACGAGGATCCAGGCTCAAAACGAGGTATTTTTGCAATAACTTTCGTTAATTGCACAATGGCCCCCTCCAAAAAGGATTAACTACACTAATGACCCAGAATGAAAATATCTTCCAAAAATATTTTCTTAAAAACCTCTGAAATAAAATATCTTCAAAATATATTTATGAAAAACACCCCAAGAAAAGAAAAAGATTCTGAAGAATTGTGCATCCATACCCCTATGGGCACCGGGAGCAACCAGAGTACTTTTCTACAAAAGTGAGGATACGTATTTCGTGGAAACCACTTAGGAAGAAGAAAAGTGAAGTCAAAAACTAACTCCGAGCACAAAAAGTGAGGTTGTGCCAAAAAGTGACAAACAGGGAAAAGACAAAATAGGGAAAAGGACGAAAAATGAATAGTGTCCGAAGAGTAAAAATGTGGAAATGACTCGATCCTTAAAGGAAGTTGTCAATCCAAACGAAAGAGTCTCAAAAATCATTTCCGAGCACTCAAGACGACATTATGAGATGAGAAATTGAACTTAGAAAATAAAATTTAAACGGAAAAAATTTATCCGTAAAATTTCAGAAAAAGAAAAGGGAGGAAAATGACCTGGTCATTACATATATATTGTGCAATATACCTCATGACCAATCACATTTTGTTGCAAAATGCCCCAATCTCTAGACCATATTTTACTAAATGACCACAATGCCCTTTCTTATTGAATTGCACTTAATCTATTTTTCTTATTGAAATAAATTATGAAAAAAATTCATACTAATTTAATAACATATTCTATATTAAATTTGCATAAATTTACCTTTAATTTTTTAAATTAATTATTTAAATAAAAATTTTAAGTAAAATTTTTTAAAACAATTTAATAAATTTCTTAATTTTTTAGGCATATATCACACGGAAAAATATATATTTTTTATTTAAATAATTTATTAATTTTTTATCAATATATTGTATAAAAAACATAATAATAACATTATACTCTCATAACTAAAAGGCCTTGGGAAGTTATAAACTATAAAGTGAGCAGGGCCGACCCCCCAAGGCGGTCGCCTAGGGCCTCAAAATTTTCAGGCCCATTAGTGATAGGTTCAAAAAAAAAACAAAAAATTAGGCCCCTTACCATGATTGATAGGCCCAAATAAAAAGAAAAAACTTAGGCCCCTTTCCATGAGTGACAGGCCCAAATAAAAAAAATTTAATTAATTAATTAAAAAAAAAAAACTTAAGGATCTTCCATTAAATGAATTCACAGCCCATTCAAAATCAAGGCCCTTAAAAACTTGGTGATTAAATTCGAAATTAAATATGGCCCTTTACTACTTTATGTATATGTTAGTTTGTATTTCAGTAATTAAACGGTCTTAAATTTAAGTTCGCCTAGAGCCTCTTAAGATTTTGTTAAACTCAGGGCCGACCCTGAGAGTGATTATAGATTATCAGATATTCAATATATCTATATCTATATTTATACTATTATTAAATGTGCAAAGAGTTTCAGTGTTTCAGTATTTTAGTATTTATTTATTAATATAAAAAAATATTTATTAATTGATATAAAACTCTAAAAATTACCAAATAAATTTCAAATTACCTATTTATCAATTTATTTTTAAAAAAAATACCTAATAAAATAAATCACTACTTTCAAATTACTTAATAAATTCAAATTACAAATTACCTAATAAATCTATACTATTATTAAAAGAGTTTCTATAAAACTATAACACAAAATCTATATCTACATCTATATCTATACTATTATTATAAAAGATAATGACATTTCCCAATTATGATTATGTTTTTATCGGAAGAGGACACATGTCATCATCCTATTAATCCAAGAAGCCTATAAATAGAGGCATGGAGGAAGGAGTAAGGGCACAGATATTGAGAACTCTAGAAATCCAAAGGGAATATTGAAGACCGATCCAAGACAAAGAATAACAAGCACATCCAAAATTGTACTGTCAACTTCAGCAAAAAAACAACAAGTACGTCAAAATCGTACCATTTTTATCCAACCAACAAAGGAGATTGAATACATCATAGGATTGTAATTTTTATAAATTAATAAATTTATTATTATTTGCTCCATAAAAAAAGTATTAATGCATAATAATATATTTAATAAATCAATTGGTGCATAAAATATTGAAATAAATCAATCAAACTTTTTTTTTTTTTAACATCCTTATGATAAGGTTGGGTTGCTGCAGACATTACACGCCTCTTGAAAACGTTTTTTTTTTTTTTTTTTTTGAAGTAATACTGTTTTCCTTATGTCCCACCAGTTACACGCACATAGGGGTGGCAAAATGGGTCAGGAACCATCAAACCGTCCATATCCGCCCGCTATTTAGTGGTTATGGGTGAACCATATTTAATTTGAGGGTCAAGATGGGTTGGATAATTTTTAACCATTTAATTTGAAGGTCAAGACTATATTCAACCCATATTTCACCCATCACATAATAAACACACCACACACATCTATTCTTATATTGCACTCAACTTATTTCTCTCTCTAAAATTTTCACTCACAATCCTCTCTCTCTCTCTCTCTCTCTCTAAATTTGTCTCTCATCAATTCCCTCTTTCTAAGTTTCTTTCTCTAGAAATTTCTTTTAAAAAAATTTAAAAAATTTAAAAATAAATAAAAAATTTTAAAAATTAAAAATAAGTAAAAAAATATTAAAATTAAAAAAGTTATAAAATTAAAAATTAAAAATTAAAAATTAATTATTATTATATATATATAATTGTTGGAAATGAGCTCTTCACACATGCAGATTTGAGAATATAATAAACTCCAAATTTCACTAAAAGAGGAATTAATTAAGTATCAATAATTAAACAGAAATGAAATGTTCCACTTCATTTGATATTAAAAAAAAAAAAAAAAAAAAGGATACCGCAATCATACACAGATCCAACAACCAGGAATAATTGATCTTCAAGATATCGCTGCAACAGCACCACTTCATCACCTCCACCACCGCCGACACCTTCCTCGCAGCATCGGAGCCCCTCGCCGCCAGGATCCAGGCAGTCGTCCGGCGGAGCAGTCTTCAGTCTATTCCTCCGCTGCCGCCGGCACAGGCGGAGGCAGATTTCGATGGCGCAGAGGAGAGGGAAAGTGGCACAGAGGAACGGGAGGAGGAGAGGCAAGCAGAGAGCGAGGAAGAGGCACCGTCTGCGGTGACTCCTTAGCCAAGACGTTAGGATCATTGCCGCTGATTTGATCGTCGCCGACGGAAGGTGGTGGTCGTCATCGTTAATGAGTAATTTTAAAATTTTTAAAAATAATTATAAAAAAATTAAAAAATAAAAAAAAAATTATTAATAACAATTTTTTTTTTTCATTTGATAGATATTCTTTAATTTATTTCTTTTATTAATATACAGACATACAATAATTAGTTAATGGTTCATATTCAAAGCTCCTATCTCTTCATTATTAAAATTTCATTATTAATAAAGCTGTAAATATTTGGTAACTAATTCTACATTTTTAGTTGATGATTCATATTCATAACTCCTATCTCTCCATTATTAAATTTTTATTATTTTTTTAAAAGTATAAAAAAATTAAAAAATAATAATTAATGGGTTCACGGGTCATAACGGGTTGACCCTGCCCATTTTCAACCCTTCCATTTTTAACCCATTTTGAACGGGTTGAATATGATTCTTGACCCATATTGTCCTGTCCATTTTTAATCCAACCCAAATCCGACCCAACCCGCCCATTTGCCACCCCTACACGCACATTAAATATTAGAAAGAGTGTTATTGATAATTCAATTTCAAATATGTTAACTTTGACAGAAATTAATTAAAAATTAAAATTAAATAGGTAAAATAAAATCACAAATTATTTTTTATTCTGAGTTTGTTTTATAAAAGGAAATTTAATTAGACAATGATATATTTAAAGAAAATAAAATAATTTCCTCAAAACTCTAGCACAAATTATTCATTTTATTTTCAATAAAACTCTATCACATCAGAACGGGATATATTTAAAGAGTTTCTATAAAACTCTAACACAAATTACCTATTTATTTATTTACTATTTTGAGTTTTTTAATAAAAGAAAATCTTATTAGACAAAAATTATAATATAAAAAATATTTATTAATTGATATATAAAATAAAATAATTTTTCTAAAATTCTATCACATATTACCTTTTATAATGATTTTTTTAATAAAAGGAAATCTAATTAGATAAGGATATATTTAAAGAAAATAAAATAAATTCTATAAAACTCTATCACAAATTACCTATTTTTTTCCAATAAAACTCAATCACCTTAGACAAAGATATATTTAAAGAGTTTCTGTAAAACTCTAACACAAATTACCTATTTATCTATTTATTATTTTGAGTTTTTAATAAAAGAAAATCTTATTAGACAAGAATTATTAATATAAAAAATATTTATGAATTGATATATAAAATAAAATAATTTTTCTAAAATTCTATCACAAACTAACTTTTGTTATGATTTTTTAATAAAAGGAAATCTAATTAGACAAGGATATATTTAAAGAAAATAAAAAATAATTTCTATAAAACTCTATTACAAATTACTTATTTTTTTTCCATTAAAACTCAATCACATTAGACAAAGATATATTTAAAGAGTTTCTATATAACTCTAACACAAATTACCTATTTATCTATTTATTATGAGTTTTTTTAATAAAAGAAATCTAATTATAAGTATTATTAATATAAAAAAATATTTATAATTGATATAAAAAGAGGTTTTAAGAGAGTTTTTATAAAAATCTAACACAATTTACCTATTTATCTATTTATTATGAGTTTTTTAATAAAAAAAAATCTAATTAGACAAGAATTATTAACATAAATAAATATTTATTAATTTATTTAAAAACAATTTTTAAAAGAGTTTCTATATAAAACTCAAACACAATTACCTATTTTTTTATTTATTACGAATTTTTGATAAAAGAAAATCTAATTAGACAATAATTATTAATATAAAAAATAGTTATTAATTAATATAAAAAATAAAATAATTTTTCTAAAACTGTTACACAAATTAACTTTTATTATGAGTTTTTTAATAAAATAAAATCTAATTAGGCAAGGATATATATATTTAAAGAAAATAAATAATTTATATAAAATTCTACCACAAACTCTATCACATTAGACAGAGATATATTAAAAGAGTTTCTATAAAACACTAACACAAATTATCTCAAATCTACCACAAATTAACTAATTTATTTTCATTAAAACTCTATCTGTATTTATCTATTTATTATGACTTTTTTAATAAATGGAAATCTAATTAGATAAGGATATATTTAAAGAAAATAAAATAATTTCTATAAAACTCCAACAAAAATTACCTATTTTATTTTCTATAAAACTCTATGACAAATTATTCTATAAAACTATAGCACAAATTACCTATTTTATTTTTTATAAAACTCTATCACATTATACAAGGATATATTTAAAGAAAATATATAATAATATAATAAAACATATAAATATAAATAAAATATAAAAGTGTAAAGAGTTCCTGCATTTCAGTATTTATTTTTTAATATAAAAAATATTTATTAATTAATATAAAAAGAAAACTCTATCGTATATCACCTCTATATTTATCTACTTATTATGAGCTTTTTAATAAAAGAAAATTTAATTAGATAAGGATATATTTAAATAAAATAAAATAATTAAGAATATATATGAATAGAAAATTTTGATAAGTTATCAAACATTTATCACGTGCCTTTTCCTATTATATATATATATATATATATATATATGAGATAGTTAGGAAGTAGGAAGAATTCATGCCCACGTGCATATGTGTGAAGAAGGGTTAGGCGAGGTGTATTCATCCCATGGTCCCAATCACATATATACATACACAGTTATATAAATTGACCGTACGTTACAAACACACTCTTTTGCCCACACCGAACTCGAATCCTTCGTCTTAAAAATAAATAAAAATTTTAAAAATGAATGGTCATTATTATAGAGGTAATTATTTAAAGTTAATTAACCAAATGGACATATCAGTAATCTCGGCGATGACTGCCAAGCAGTGTCCCGGCCAGCCCAAAGAGAATTATGCCTAGCCCAGACGAACTGTTCAAAATGGGCCAACTAAAGTGGTGGGCCAACTCTTCAATTGAGAAAGCCAAACTGGGTCGGAGTTCAAGAAATAAATGGACTCAACACATCAAACCCAGTCATTGCTTGGCCTAACACCGTAAGGCTAGTTTGTTGTTGAACATGGATGTGATATGAGCATAACTACCCTCACTTCCCATATGACGTGAGACTATTTACACATCTTTTACTCATGCAGTCACTGAGCAAACGATTTGATTGCTTGAAGGACTAGTGAGCTATGGATTGAATTTGAATTGGAGTTCATTTCAAACTTTGATTTTTGGATGAACATCAAAACTCAAAGTTGCTTTTTTCAAGCTAATTTTTTTTCATTATTTCCATATTTAATATGAAGTTAGATATGAGATATTGGAAGAAAGTTAAATAATTTATGATATGGCCTTTGTTCTATATGTATTTTAAAATATAAAAAGAACTGCTGGTTCTATTTAATTAGTCATAACTGCTACCCTTATTTAATTATCACCCACAATATTTAGACTCATATTTATTGGTTTTAAGAATCTTGTTATAAATGAATAAATAAAAATTGCTTGTTGAATAACGTTTACAGTGATTATCAACTAATAATTCGTTCTCCGTTTTTTTGGCATGTTAGACAAGTAATATGAACCTCTAAAAAAAATAAGTAATATGGTGCAAAGAAATAACTGAAGCTAAGGTTATCTTACCACTAATTAGTTGTCCTTGATTGACTTAAAGTCCTCAAATCATCGACACAAAAAAGAATCAAACAAAATGAGAAACTCCAACCGGCCTTTTCATGATTGCCTTACGACTGACATCTTGTTGGCCGTTCATGATGTAATTTGGCTACTCACACATCACTCACTCTTAAAAGTTTCAACCCCCTTGGATCCTAGCATGCTCACAATCTGTTTAGCCTTGGGCCAAGACTTCGTCTTGACACACACAAAGCAAGAGACGGAGCATGAAAACGAAAAAATCTCATACACAATGAGAATGGGAGAAAAAGCTCCGCGGCAAAATTTAATTCACACGTAGTGAGAATGAGAGCCAAAGTGTGCGGAGCATGAGTATAGCTGCTTAGAAACATTGTATGACTTAAAAATAGACAGACTTAACAGCAGAATCATGCATATATATTCATGCTACATACGTTAGAGACAATATTACGTGAAGGTGCTTTGAACCCTAATATTTCGTGTTTCACAATAACACTTATCCAGCAATTGTGAAATTTAATACCATAAAAAGGAAAAAGAAATAATAAATCAGTCTTATAAAGACGGACAAATAGCATAAGAAGCTTCTCTTCATGTCTTTCACTGGCACAAATCAAGGGTTCTCACAATTCTTGAGCTACAAAGATTTAAATTAAACTACAGTACAAGGTCCAGAACCAAAACGGTATGCCACAAAAGCCCATAATCTACAAATTCCTCATAAACAGCGATGATTTTCACTTCCAGAAACAAATGTTGAGACCTATGAACAACCAACTCAAGGAAATAGGAACTTTACAGTCGATGATTAAATCTCCTATTAACATCTTCTGCATCTACCTGCTAATGAAACAATCACATTTGAGTAGACGCAGGTTTAAATCTTTGACGCGTTGATTATTTCCCTTGAGCACGCCAATTAGAGGAAGCAAATATTCGTCGATAAATGTGACTTCCATAATGATAAATTCTTCCATAATCCAATCCGGAGGCATCTCACTCACCATCACAATAGGATGCTAAGTAAAACATGCATCCAGAGTAAAACCTCAAAAACCAGCATCAAAAGACATGTAAAAGGATAGATTCAATTACAAATAGCTGCACAAGAATAATTTAAATACATACTAAAGGATGACTGGATGAGGCAGTGCCAAGTTCCTGTTCCACAACAAAACTGTTTTCGTGCGCAACAAATGCCAGCCAATAAAGCATCAAATGCTAGAGCAAATGCATACGCTCCACGTAAGACTGTAGTAACCATCTGTTAAGAGGTTCCCCACAGCCCACGAAACAACCAGTATTACCATTCTCGGTGAAAAAAGGAAAGCTGAACATATGCAGCAATTCCTGCACTGCCTGCCTCACTAGAGAAGATCCTGTCACCCTGCTCCGTCGGCCCCATCCTGTCACAATATCAATGCGGGTAGGACAAATGCCCGACTCAAGCATCTGCTTGCGAAACCAGGCAAGTGTCCTCGACAGTGCAATAACAGCAGTTCCATCCGACATAACATGAAGATTTATCAGCCAATAGCATGAACTTTTCTCTCTAACTGCATCTGGATACACGTTCTTCTGTGCAGCCACCTCCCAAACACATCCAGCCTCCTCCTTGAGTCCAGACTTGTGTAGAAAATCAACTGCTGCATCCACAAGTCCTCTCTTGCTCTCTCTTTCTTCACTGTGCATCAGGTCTAAAAAGGTGCTAACATGGTCACGCACATTTTGGCCATCAGGTCCAGCTGCCGGCATGGAGAGTAAAAATGCATGTGCCGGGTGGCCTGTAACTGCCATTAGCTCACAGCAAAACCCCATGTCGAAAGATGATTGGGCCTCTGTGCAACAACTCAGTAGCAAAGTATACGTTTGTAGAGAAGGATTTAGACCCAAACTAAGCATGCAACGAAGCAAGTTGTATGCATCTGACAGCCGGTGTACCCTAAGGAAAGCACTGAGCAGGGAATTGCATGTGGGCACATTAGGTCGCAAACCTGCATTGAGCATGGCTTGGTACCATCCCAGAGCCTTCTCTGCATTCCCAGCCTTACCCCACAGGTCAACTAGAAGACCATAAACAGGCTCATCAGGAACCCAGTTCTTCTGTTTCATCTCTGCAAAAACAGCCTCCGCTTCTTCGAGACGCCCACAAAGGCCAAGCACCTCCATAACTATGCTGTAAGTCACTTTGTCCGGTTTAAATCCAGCATTCTGCATGTCATGATAAAGCTGTAATGCAATTGGGTAATTCCTTGCCTTTGCTTGTAAAGCAATCATAATATTATACGTCACTAAGTTTGGTACACAACCATGATCAACCATCTCACAGAATAGTTTGTAGGCAGCAGCCAAATGGCCAGCTTTGCCTAGGCAATTGATGATGATGCTACAAGTGAATGTGTCAGGAGAAAGGCCAGCCTGTTGCATCCTCTGATACATCTCCATGGCAAAATCAAGATACCCGGCTTTCGCATGGATGTCAATGAGTGTACAATAGGTGACACGATCAGGTTCACAACGTGCTTCCTGCATCTGATTGAAAACAGAAACTGCTTCATCCAAATAGTTAGCACGGCCATAACTGTGAATGAGACGGTTATATGTCACAACATTCGGCTGGCATCCATCCCTGATCATCTGGTCAAGCAACTTGTTTATTGCACCAAATTGCCTGGCACGGCCAAGGATGCCAACCATGGTGGTATATGTATGCCCATCATGCTTGAACCCAGCTTGTCGTTTCAACCAATAGAAAAAACTAAGAGCAACTGAATGGTCTTGAAGCTGCTTAAGAACTTGGTTTGCTTGATATGCATCCATTGAACAGTTTAGTTTTCTAAGAGCCTCTTCTGTTGCAGGGCCCCATTTCAACTGTCGCAATATCTGAGAAACACGATCCACCACATGCCCAGTGCTCGCAAACTGCCTAGCCGTTGGCACAACTCCTGTCGGTATTTTTGTAGATCTTGGGGGCTTCTTGAAACCTTCTGTTACTTCCCCAACAAATTTTCCTTCTGAAGACAGTACATTGGACATGAAGCAGTTTGAATAAGCTTTTGATCTCTGAGGTGTATACCTTTTCTTATCATGAGAATCAGAATATTTACAATGACTATCTACTGTATTCCCGGCGCTATTAACATGTTTCAAACCTTTAATGGAACCGGATTTCTCTCCTCTATCTTTTGTACCATGAGAGTTAATTGTCGGCTTTGACCCTGCTGTTCTCTCAGCAGATGGATTTATTTTAACTTTTTCTTTTCTGAAGGTCTTTACATTTGAGGATTTGATGTTGGAAAGCCTTGGTTGATCAACCATACAACTCTGTGGTGAGCTAAGAATTCCACCCCCATCTAACGTTGGAATTTTATAGTTTACTAAATCGGACAAAAAGCTTACTGCAGCAATACCCGCCTTGACAAACTGGTCTGTAATAGGAGGTGAATGCATTGTTTCCTTTTGAACAACGTCAATGCTACCAGCATAACTGACACAGTCTGTTCTCCTCAAAGAACTGGTAGCAGATATAACTTGTGGTAAAGAAGCTGTGTTGTTAACACTCTCGGTTTTGCTAGAACTCACCACTTCTACTGCATCTCCTGAAATTAAGGGACCTACTCTTGTTGAAGTTTTGGATACGATCGCTGGTGGAGTTTGTACATGTCGCACTTCATTTCTTGTCTGCTGCTTTCTCGAAACACAAGTTTCATCATCAGAACAAGTGCATGAACTCCCACCATCTGCTGCGCTACATCGTGATGCACTAAGTAAAAAGGACTTGGCAGATTGGGAAAGGATACCGAGCTGCTTTGTTCGTAACATATTCTGTATATTCAGTTGAAAGAATTTTTATTTAATAATAATAAAAATAAAATAAAAAATTAAAAGAGAAAGGAATCAGTTGCCGCCTTTTCCATGAAAAGGTTTTAAGGGTCATGAAAATTTTAATTTCGCCACAAATTTTTCTTTCATTTTAAGCAAGGAACCGTATTCATTCATATGTTAGTCTCATTCATACAAATCTACACTGCTTAACCCATCCAGAAGTCCCAATTCCCATCATGGCTGCATGAAACAAAAGAGAAGACACAAGACATCCCAATATAACAATCACAGTCATATGAAACATAAAATTTTAATCCCGAAAAAAAATCATAATGGATGAGTGACCAAGCTGCTCGGAGACAAAAAGTCAACAGAGGATGCAATTGGTAGATATGTCCCATTAAACTAGAATATGTGTGATTGAAAAAAAGCCACCCTAGAACCTGCTACCCGAAATATAACAATTGCTGCAGCCAACAAGAAAATGAAACCCAAGTTTACCAACAAGGAAAATGCCGTTGATTAAAGTTGTCACATGTCTGTTCTAATGTGGCCATCACTTACTCATATGCAGTAGCCAGCTAGATGCAAAGAATTACCATGCTGATGTGCTTGAGGAACAATTTATCAATTTGCTGGTAATAAAGCATGTATCACAACTGGTTTATAACACGTCACATTTTAGTTAACATATTAAATGTTAATATCAGCAGAAATTTTGAAATTTCTGAACACAGTAATAGTGAAGTTAAAAGGGAATTAATGAGTACAAAAATTCATTAATAATGTATAATGTTTAAAGTTTCATCCTACCATAAAAAATACAGAGAAACGACACTGAATCAAAAAGTTATAATGTTGTGAAGAGTTCATTAACAAAAATATGCTTGTTGGACTAAAATGCTCTCTAGATAATTAATGATACATGGGCAACTTTTGGCATATAAAATAAACTTCAAGCCTTTACATCTTTCTCCTGCACAAATACAATATCTAAAATGAATGAAAACTAAAAGCTCAATAACTCTAGTAAACGGCAAGGGAAAGAAAAAAAAAAACTCAAAAAAAATAATAAATAAAAATTATTAAAAAAATAAAATTGATGAAGCCGAAGTTCAAAGATAAATCTATACTAAGATAATGACGTAGCAAAAGCTTCAAACTCAAAAGAATTGCAATATTTCTCTCAATTCTTCATTTCAATCTATCCATTTCCCTTTAGAATACATGCATATATATAGTTGGTTCTACCAAAGCCGATTTTTCACCGTCTTTTCTGACTTCTGCAATGATGCGTTGAACCATGTCTTCTTACTTCTCTAGCGTCACACTGTTCCTTTATCGGTTTAGCAAAACACAATTCCTTCCTCTTTCTTATTTATTGATGCCCCACACTTCCATGAACACACTATTTTGAACTATTCATTATAATAACTTCTTTTTCTTTCTCTTTTTTTTTTTTTTCATTGTTGGTACTCACACACACATTCATTATCATAACTTCACTGTTTACACTTTTTCTTTTTTGATAAGTCAAGATGTATTACAAAGCGTTCAAAAGGGGGAACGCATCCCAAAGACTATACAAAGGCAAAAGCCAACGAAAGAGGTCCCATGGATCCAAGAAACCCAAAAAATCAACAATCGCCTCTATAGATTTACCCCAATTGGGTAAATCCTTTTGATTGAGCAGCTCAACACAAATACTTTATATTTCTACTTTCTAATTTCTGCTGCTTACCTTTCCTTAACCTGCACTTAGGTTTACAGCAACAACCATCTTTACAGGTGCAATCTAGTCACTGATGGGCAACAGTACATTAGAGTTCTAGTGATATTGGAAGTTCCGCCAAAGCTCATCCACAATAAACCAGTAAAGGTCATTTTGAATGTGGATATGACTACCTTTGACTTTGACTGCACCAATTTTATCAAAGCCTCATGCCATTTTTCAACCAGATATTTGACTAAAAACAACAAAGTTTTTATTTGTTAATGAGTAACATAGAGCTCACCAAGAAAAGAGCAAGCAAATTTGAAGAAGGTAATGACAGAGGATAGCATATGTGGAGTATGAGGAGATAGCACTAGAATAGCTTTCGGTGTGGTGTTACTCAGGATGAAGGAGCTTGTAGTGGTGGTGACTATGTTACTGATGCTGGTAATAGATATGATGGTTGCAACGAAACATATAATGGTTATGATTCTAAGAAGGTATGCTGTAACAATCTACAGGTATTTTGGGGTTTTCTAAACAAAATTGGTCAATGTTGACCACCAAGGGGGCAATTTGCTACAATATTTCAAATTATAGGGATTTATATGCACATACTAAATAGCAAGGGTGTTTCTTGTAAAAATTTTATATCGCAGGGGGGTTTGTTGCACTTTACCCTTCAAATAATGTATAATCTTTTATCAAGCCTTCATGTCCGAACAGACTCAAATCCTGTATGACCCTGTCGGAGGTGGCAAGAGATATCACTGAAGCTAACATTCAGTGGTTCCACTATGTTTCTTTCATTTCCTAGATAAGTTACATTCTCATTTCACAGATGAGCATAAATTTATTGTTCGATTTAGAAAGTGCTACAAAAATAACTTTAAATTTAAAAAAATGGCTTTATTCATTATGTATATTTTCATTTTTTTACTGCCAAAGTACTTTCAACCCGCAGGAATAAACTCAAATGTACTATGCTTATCAATTTCACAACCAAATAAAATAACTTTCATGACTCCTATCCAAATCAGTGCACAAGATATTCTATCCAAAGCATTCCACTTGTTTCATCAATCTATCCTCAGAAACCCATCTTCCCAACAAAATACTGTTAGAAAACACATAAAGTCCTGTTCTTTGCTACTTGGAAGTACTCTCATCACTTCAGAAAGCAAAGATAATCAAAACAGATTTTTGCTTCCATAGGCAAAATTTGTGCTTCCAAACGCCTACCAAAACCACATTAATACATAAATTCCCCATTCAGAAAGGCCCCATTAAATCTTTCAAAGAAAAACCCTCTTTTTCACAAACAAAAAACCAAGAACTTTGCCTGCAAAATAGCTCTTATGTTTTGATTAACCAGACAAATAAAATCACCAATCTTTAAAAACATCCGAGAATAATCAACAACCCACATTCTAAATCACCAAAACGAAGCAATAAACACAATCAATTACTTTCCATCCAGCAAAGAAATTCAAATACTGGTAAAAGCAAGACATAAAAACAGAACAACCAGCAAAGAAAAAACATCATATTTGCAATAAACAAGAAACAAGAGTCATGGGAAGAGAATGACCTGAAATGGTGTCTGGACTTCTCAGAATCCACAGCGAGAGAGAGAAAGATTTCTAGAGAGATAAAGACGGTAGTGGAGTTAAACGGGGAGGAGGCGGCGGCGGCTCTGCTCTTCTTCACTCTGGCGTTAAACCCCGTGAGCTTTCCAACCAAGTTGGGAAGAGCTTCGACTGTGCCTTTATTTACCCTACTCTTTTGTTCTGCTGTTTTCTGAACCACGTGTTGTCGCCTTCAGAGTTATATTTGACAATCAGAAGATTCTGATCAGAGATTTTTGTTTACTCTAAGGCCCGTTTGGGAAGTGTAGTGTGATGTAGTGTACCGCTCTAGTCTAGAACAGAACAAGTGTTTTGTAATGTGATGTTCTGAAACGAGAACAAAACATGGTAGAACATGTTTGGTAATGTATATTGTTCTAAGAAATATGAGAACAAAACATGTTTGGAAGAATAAAAGTGTAACCAAAATCACTAAAAAAAAAAAAATCATGAAATATATATATTTTTTAAGTGACAAATTCCAAAACTATAAGTTACCAAAAAAAATTGTTGGGTTTCCTTTGTTAAAAAATTACCAATAAAAACTTGTAAATATTACCAATAAATTTCATTGCATGAAATTAGTACGAGTGTTCGATTTTTTTAATTAAAAAATTACCAATAAAAACCTATAAATAAAAAATTTGCTTCTTCAGTACCTTTTTACTAAAAATAGAAAAACAAATTTAATCACATATTATATTATCTAATAATAAGTCACAATTATTTTCTTTCTCCATTTAAATTTAAATTTTTTAAATTTCAGATGGACAAATATAAAAAATGAGGATTCAAGCTATTTTGATATATATATATATATATATAGAAAAACAAATTTTATTATATATTATATTATATAATAATAAGTCATATACTATATTATCTAACATTTTTTTAAAAAATTTAAGATAATATATATATATATATAATTGTCTTTTGTGCATTAAAGTATGTAAGAGGACAGAAATTAGCTGGATGGGGTTTTTACGAAAATGGAGAGAATTCGTTATTTTAGAGTGAGACATGCACAGTTCATTTTCCTTTTCCATTTCCATTTCCATTTTCATTTCCATTTCATGTTTTATTAGGAGTTAATTTGATAATCATGGTCTACGCAAGAGATTTGAAAAAATTGCAAGAGATTTGAGAATTTGGATCAAACAAAAATTCAGTTAAAAAAACGCAGACGTGGGGTTCGTCGGAATCGGCAGACGAGAGCGCACAAGAGCTCGCCGGAGTGACAGATCTACGCGCCAAAGCTTTGGGTTCGCCGGAAAACACAGAGGTGGGGTTCGCCGGAAAACGCAGAGCTGAGATAGTTCTTGAAAGAGAGAGGGGGGCAAGTTCACAGATCTGCTAGATTTTGTAGTTTGCAATTGCAGAGAGAGCGAGGGGGCAACTTCAAAATTGAGAACGAGAATAGAGATGGAGGTGGGTCTCGAACTTCTGATTCTTTTAGATTTTGTAGCTTGCAGTTGGAGAGAGAGAGGGCAAGTTAGAGTGTTTTTTCAGAAATTAGGGCAAGTTCACAGTTGAGAACTGTTCTAAGAATTCTTAAATATGTGATATATGAATTCCTGCACTTTGGGCTGTTGTTCTCCTTTCTACAGTGAATAGTGGGCCGGCTGAAATTTGGGAACATTTTGGAACATAATTTTTTTGTTCCGGAAATTGGCCCAAAAACTGAAATTGTTCTATCACTGTTGGACACAGTACAGCCCATACCAAACAAGTTGGTGTCCTCAATAGTGCCCATTTGCACTGTAAGAAAGGGCATAGAACAAGATGGAGCATCCCCCAAACAGGCCCTAAATCTACTTGTATTTTCTATTCTCTCTCTTTTTGTGTATTATTATTATTTATTATTATTATTATTATTTTTTTTTTTTAACTTTTTGACTTCTGATTTGAGAGCATGTGTTCGTTTGCATTGAGTGGGTTGTGAGGATGAGATTGATTTCTCGTGGGCCATAGGACGGCTTGTCTTTTGCTTTGGTTTTCTTTTTTTAATTTTTTATAATTTATCTCATTAATTGCATAATTTAATTCATTAATTGTTTTTTTTTTTTTAAGTTAAAGTTTATTCATTAATTGTTGTGTCTCTCTCTAGAGTACTTTTATGTAACATTGAAAACTTAACATTATAGACAAAATTACCCTCTCTTCTTTTAATAGGAGCATATAACATAGTATAACTAACCTTGTGAATGGTAAATTCATAAATTAATTTATATAATAGTGAAAAATACGTGTGATGCAAGTGGTAAATTCAGAAATTAATTTGTAATTTTAAAAAAAAAATTAAATAATAATCAAAAACAAAATAATTTCTTTTGTAAATAATTAATTAACAATTTATTTTGAGTTATTAAAATTTTAAATATTTATGAAGTCGATTATATTGTCTTTTTGCAATTTCATTAGTACGAAAAAATATTTTAAAAATAAAGATCAAAGTTTAAGGAGTTACGATTTTTTATTTAAATATTTTTTATCCATAAGATATAAATACTAATTTTAAATAACTTGGAATGACAATTATTAGAGTAACTTAATTCATGCTAACAACTTTAATGATGTTACTTTGCATTTCCAACATTATTAATGGAATGGAGAGATACTATTTATTGTCCATAGTGCATTAATTAACACATGAATGTGATTAGTGTTGATTACACATCATCATGATCCGCAACTGCTCTTGTGGCACTACGAGCATAAATGTTTCTGTGTAACATCACATTACCAATAAGATCTACGTCATTCAATGCCAATTAGTTAAACGGGTTTGAATTGACCTTAAATAAGTTCGGGTTATAAATAAATCAATACAATTAATTCGTCGTAAATAAATCAATACAATTAATTCGTTTAATTAATTCGTCGTAAATAAATCAATACAATTAATTCGTTTAATTAATCGTGTTATGTTTTTATTAAGGTGTTTCAACCCGTGCATCTCGTTTATAACCGTTTAACTATACCTGTCATAAATAATTTTATATTTAAGTTTCAAAATAACTATCTAAACTTGTATTTTATAATTTACTCTTTTTGTAGACTATAAGTTATTTAGTAATTTGATTGGATTGAAACTTCTATTTTTTTAGTATTTATTGTTTGATCGAGTATTATTAATAATTTAAATAATATAATTTTTTATTTTAGTAAATAGGTTATTAAACGAGTTACATATTGGATTGAAATTTATATTTTTATAGTATTTATTGTTTTATTATTAATAATTTAAATAGTATAATTTTTTGTTTGTATAATTTCGATTAATGATAGTGAGACGTTCTAGAGGTGAAGCGATTTCTATTTTTATTTATTTGGTACTTACCTTTTATTGTTGTAATTAGTAGTATTACTTTTATTGTTGTAATAATTTTTATTCTAAGTTAAATATTCTCTAAATTATCCTAAATAATAAGAAAAATTTACCAAAATTTAAAAATTATACCCTTTTGAATTAAGAAAAATGTATCATACTCTAACGAGTTTTCTCTCCCTCATATTTTTCAAAAAAATCTCATCTTTTCCAAAAAAAAAAAAAAAATGATCCTCCCTCTCTCTCCGCTTTATTCCCCCAGTCTGTCTTAATATTCCCCCAATCTGTCTTGATATTCCTCAAATCGTCGGAATGAGCAAGAGCAGAGGGAGGGAGGATTTTTTTTTGGAAACAATGAGGGAGAGATAGAGTATGGTGAATTTTTCTTAATTCAAAATGGTACAGTTTTTTCAAACTTTCTTTACATTAATTGACGTAGTTTAACACCACCATAGATAGATATTAAATATCACGTGTCAATTTGTAACGAATTCAACTTCTAATTAGTTAGAGAATATGTAATTTAGAGTATCCAATTCCCTATTGGTAAATATTAAATTTGGAAACTAGGAATAGTGATAGTAATTTTGTATTAATAAGAAAGTATATAGGTGGGTTTGAAATATGACCACTATACAAAATGCGGAAGAATTTTCTTATTCCATAGAAATAAGAGATCACTATTCTATATATATATATATATATATATATATATATATATATATATTATACACACATGCATATAACTAAGAGAGATATGCATGTGAGACACGCACCAGTAAAGAGTCTAAAGTCAAGTAGAATAAAATAATTTGAGAATTCTATATACAAAATTGTTTTTATATCAATCTAATCCTTATCAAGTACTCCAAAAAAATTCTATATACAAATTTATTTTTATATCTATCCATATTATTTCGAATCATTTAATTTAACATACTCCTAAACAGCATAAATTCCTTTGACACAAAGTCTATTTAACACCCACCCTTAAAATTAATAAAATATAACTTTTTTATATTTGTTAAAATGCAAAATCTCTTTTATTTTAGTCGTGTATTTAAAATGAATTAAGAAAACATTTTAATGTTACATAAATGTACCTAAGGGTTTTTAACTATTAGCTAGTATCACATCATTTCACATTTTGTTCATAAAATTTTAAAAGCTTTTATTTTGTGAAAACCTAACAAAAAATTCTTATTTTCAGTTCATATATGAGTAAAACAACATATCATCAATTGATATTTCCCTCTTTGAAGTAATAATAATGTTGAAATGAATCGTTTTATTATATGACAAATTATATTCTAAAGTAAAAATTTTAACTCAGACTTGTGATTTATCAATGTAAAAACAAAATGACCAATAAACATTAATGACATCCATGTAACGAAATAACATTATAAATTTAGTTTAGTGGTTATTTTTTATTTTTTATTTTTTCTTTCCAAAGTAAAATGGCTAAGGTTAAAAATAAATAATAATAATAATTGGTTCTAAATATGACCTATACAGTATTCTCAGGGTATCGGGGTGTAGAACTGGATGCCCTTAAGGCCGCGGGTTTGGCGTGACATTGAATCAAGGATTTTAAGCCTAGTTTGGTGTGATGGAATGGGCTGAAATGGAATGACCATTCCACTTTCTGATTCTTATTCCCTTGTTTGGTGTGTCACATTAAAGTGGAATGGCCATTCTAAGGCATTCCCAGAAAATGCCCATCCCATCAAAAATGTGGAATGCCCATTCCTCTTTCTAAGACGTGGAATGACCATTCCATTCCCACTAATAAAATAATTAAAAAAATCAAAGACAAAAAAATACCCTTTTTTTTTTTTGCTTCGT